GTCAGACCAGCCCTTCATCCTAGAACAAACATATATCATGGTATATGCTGTGCTGATATGGTACTGAAATCCATTTGCTAAATTTATATTCATGAGATTGATCTAGATTTCCCTCTCTTTCTCTGTCATATACACACATACCCCCCTCCCCTGATTTTGTATTTTCTTTTGTTTTTATACCAGGATAATACTGGCTTCTTAAAATGAATTGAAAAGTATTTCTGCCTCTTCTATTTTGGGGAGACTGCATGTTAGAATTGGTGTTAATTCTTCTATAAATATTGGGTAGAATTCTATAATGAAACCATCCAGGCCTTGAGATTTCTTCTTTGCGCTGTTTAAATTTCAGATTCAATTTCCTTAGTAGTTATAGTGCTGATAGGCTAATGACTCAGGGTGGAATTATTTGTTTTTATTTTTCTACTTGGCATTCACTGTAGTTTTATGAATCTGTTGGTCTATGCCTTTTGCTATATTTGGGGAATTTTCAGCCATTACTTTTTAAAATATTTTTCAGCCCTACCCTCTTTTGCCTCTCATTCGTGGCTCCCAAAGACACAAATGTTAAATGTCTTGTTATAGTCTGTGTGAGTCAGCTTGGTGTCACTGTAACCAAATACCTGAGATAATCAACTTATAAGGAGGAAAGGTACATTTTGGCTCAGTGTCGGAAGTTTCAGTACTTGGCTGCCTTTGGGCCTGAGACAGGACATCATGTGGGGAGTGCATGGTAGAGAAAGCTGCTCACCTCATGGTGGTTAGGAAGCAAAAAGAAAGAGAGAGGATGTGGCCGGGCATCCCCCTTGATGTAACTTCCTCCTACAACTTCCTCGTGCCACTCCCTCTCAAGGGCACTGTAGGCTGGGGACCAAGCTTTTAGCAGATGAGACTTTGGGGCTCACTTACCAAACCATGGTGTAGTCCTGCTGGTCCTGGGGGCTCTGCTCACTGTTTTAAATTCAATTCTCTTTCTTTCAGATAGAGTCATTCCTAGTGTAGCATTTGAGTTCACTGGTACATTTTCTCTGTTCCTCCATTCTGTTGTGGGGAACATCCATTGATTTTCAAGGTTTGGGTGATTATTTTTCCAACCCTGTGGTTTTTTTGGGGTTCTTTTTGAAGTCTTGGCTGGGAACTTGTATCTTTTCATTGGTTTTGGGTGTGTTCATAATTATCCATTGAAACCTGTTGATCTGCTGCTGCCGGCCGAGGTGGAACTTCACCCCTCTGCTTACCACTGGGTGGGCTGTGCCCTTCACCCCTGCTGGGCAGGGGTGGGAGTTCTGGTCCCTGGCCTTGCTGATGTCACCCTGCCTGGGAGGGGCTCACTGACCTTGTGAAGCTGTGCAGCCCTGGCTTTGCACTAAGCCTTCTCTGATGCCACCCCAGCGAGGACCAGAGGAGCGCTGTTGTACTGGGGTGAAGTGGAAATCCAGGCTCTGCGTGGGGTCTCTGTCAGTGGGTGGGGGCCTGGGTGCAGCCTGGCTCCCTGCTTTCCTCCTCTGACACCATCAGGTAGGAGCGTGCCGTACCTGAGTACCAGGTCCCGTGTTTGTTTAGATTTGCTGGTGGGGTGGGGTAGGGCCGTGGCCTTCCTGTAGGGTTTGGCTGGTCAGCCACCTCAGCACCCTGCATCTGGCTGGGTGGCCCCTTTCCTTGTCCTGTGACTAGAGACAGCAGGCTGTTGCTGAAGCTTCTCTCTCTCTCTCTCTCTCTCTCTCTCTCTCTCGTGCTTGTTGGCATTTCCAGGTTTTTGGTACCCAGTCTGGGATATTTGAGGCCAAAAGAAAACCAAGGGAACTCAGTGGTTACTCAGGCCCCAGCTTTGTAGATGGCTCGCCTACTTCTCTTCACCTTGATTTAGTCTCCTTCTGTTTATTTTTTATAAAACGTTCAGAGTTTTTAGTTTCAGAGGAAGGAATAGAGCGAAGTCTTCCCACTCCATCTTCCTGGGATAGAAGACCAAGTGTTGTCAAATGTAAGTGCTGCCTAACAGCCAGCCAGAGGGGAGACCAGCCCCGCTCTGCCTCCCTGCTCAGCACTGGGAGATCTCAGTCTCTCCCCTTGCTATGAAAGGTGCTCGTTTTCCATTATCTTAGCACATGCACTTTTGCTTGCCTGACAGTGAAAATACTATAACGTGGGGGAACAACGGTTTTCTATTCTTTGGAGGGCAGCTGAGCTGGTGGAGTAGGTGAGGGCTTTAGAAGCAAAATATCTGTATAGTGGTGAGATAGTGGGCGAGGGTCTCAGCTTTTTAAAAGACCAGTACAAGCTAATTCTGGTGTTGTCTAAAGCTCATGTGTTGCATGTGGAAGGCCCCACACGTTGCATGACTTACACATGGTATATGTTTAAATACTAGTTGTGTCTTCCCGTTGAAGCGTTTGTGCTGAGTGCAGGACACAGAGAACTTATCCCGGAGCCCTCTGGACTTGAAGGCTCCGGAGTGGTCAGAAAAGCAACCTAGGGAAGACATCCTTGCAAGAACAGAAAGGTGGGCTTTATTTTTTCATTGGTCTGTGGCCTGGGTTCTGGTAGGATAGTGGTCTAGTCAGGGATGGGAGTTCTGGTCCCCTGGCACCCCTCAGGGCAAAAGAAAGCGACCGCGATGGCTCTCGGCGACTGAACAGAGAAGAAAATAAAACTACCATCAGGAAGGGAAGGGCCGGGAGAAAGGTGGAGGTTAAGGGCCTGAGGTCTTATTAGATGAAGCACCTCGACTTCTCCTTTAAGGGATCTTATTCCGTCTCTTAGAGGTGGTGTGGCTGCGGGCTCTGCCCTCCTCTCCCACATGCACTGACTCTGCGTAATCACGTAGTTTCACAGGTCGTGAGAAAGCAGAGGGCTTCCCGCCTGTGTCTTCGGCTCAGGTCCTCCCTGGGCCTCTTACGGCTACAGTGTCTCCGAGGGGATGTCACACGGGCTTTTCACACTCAGCCGTCCACGTTCCCCTCTTCTGTGAATTCTTCTATCCCATCTCATGAAAGGACACGTCATGGAGTGAGACGCTCAAGCCAGAAACTCAGGAATCATCTTTCTTCTCTTCTACCAGACCACATCCACGTGTGTAGCTTTCTCCTTCCGGCGTCTCTGACAGAGCTCTGTGGAGCACTGGGGGAGCGGTGCTGGAAGAGGCTCAGCTAGGTCACAGGAGATGGCAAGTACCTCCCCCACCCACGGTTTCCTTCTGTGCCTTGTGAGGTACCTGATGGCACTTTGTCAATCATCCTCTGAGCCTTGACGGCTATTGCCAGGGTTTGGATTTGCAGGTTTCCATTCTTCCTAGAACTTGAGAGTCTCTCGTGCCACCTCTGTTCTTTTCACGGCCTTGTCTTCTCCTTCAATTTTGTGACAGTTGCTGCCACCAGTGGAATTCCTATTCTCTTCCCTCGCTCACGTTCACAGTCAGGTTATGTTGGAATAAAACAAGTCGCTTGAAGAAGCAGAGGTCTATTCCTTGTTCCTGCTTCACGTCCATGACGGTTTCTCTTCTCCTTCCAACGTAGAGTGAGGCTGTGGGCCTCGACTGTAGGGAGAGTTGTTGGAGACCGAGCACAAGGAAGGGAGGAAGCACGGAATGTCCTGCACTGGCTCTGCCTGGGGCTGAGGCACCTGCATTGGGATCATCGGCCAATGACCAAAGCACACGGCATTTCCACACCCACCCTCAAGTAGGTGCACCCCACGCCCTGTCGGTAGGAAACTGGGGTAGCTGGTGAACGTCCCCGTCCTGACCACCAGACCGCCTCGTGGCTCTTTTGCCTGCCTGCCCAC